AAATGCCCCCCACCCCGCCATGGGGGTCAGCTCCTGCCTCCAAACACCAGCAAGGAAAGGCTGGCAGCAGGTTCAGGGCTGTTTGGAAGAAGGAGTTCTGTGCTGCTGTTCCCCAGGAGTGGATCTCCTGCAGCATGTCTGGAAGGAGGGAGGCATTTCTGCCCCAGCAGCATTAAAACAGGGCCCTAGGATAGTTTAGAGTGGCAGAGAGCAGCCACCAGCAGGAAGGCAGCTGCAGTTCTGTGTGAGCAACATTGGCACAGTCAAGTCACTGCTGAGGTTTCTTTTCAGTTAATGGCCCTTGTTAAATTAAACGAGAAAGGAAACACGGCTCCATTCAGTCTCAGAGAGGTCTGAGGCCCCAGCTGAGTCGGGTAAGGCCCAATGGGCTCTTGTGCATGCAAAAGGGGAGGCGCCGAGGGCATAGGGAGCGGGGAAGGGGCTGTCTTCACGCTGCCAGGAGGCTGCACATTCAGCTCTGCCGTGCCTGTGCGAGAGACCATCTTTGCTAAAGGGCTGACACAGAAACCCAGCCCCCAGTACCACAACAGGCAGCCCCATCCCAGCTGTATGTCCAGGCATGTACAGATGTCCCCACGTAGCGCTTCCCTCTGTGCTGGCTCTGCCCTCGCCTCACAGCCCCAGCACCACTGGGACACAGCTGCTGCAGCTGTGGTTAAGCGCACGCTGCTGCTTGCTTTGGTCAATGTGCTCATCCTACATCGTCTTCTCCACTCCAGGAGCATCAGCAATTTGCTGCACCGATTTTATCCAGTAGCTAGGGCTGAGGTGTCAGTGTTTTTCTGGTGGCTCGCTTACAGCACCCAGGGAGATGATTTGTCCCTGGCAAAGGGCTCTTGTCATCAGCGTCCAGGCCAGAACCCCATGGCATCCATGTGAGAGGCCAGAGGTGCTCCTCAGGTCGCAAGTGGGATCCCACATCCACTGGCACACCCCGCCTGGCTGGCCTATGACATGCTGCAGTTTGATGGCTTTGAACCGTGTGTCTGGAATGGGAAGAAACACACAGTGAGCAAGTGAAGATTGTGCTCAGGTCCCCAGGGCTGTGTGTTCAGTGATAATGCTGCCCCTACCCCAAGCCGGGCTGCCATCCTGATGAGAAAAGTGACCCTAGAGAGAGCGCGGAAGAAGCAGAACCCAGGGAGGATCCACACCATGACATAGCCAGCCATGATCAACCCCACCGCAGGGCAGATCCTACGGCCAGCCTCACTCACCTGCCGCTGCGACTGCTGGTACTCGGCTTCACTCGCTGACAGCGCCTGGGCCAGTGCCAGATCCTCCTCCTCCTGCGTGCTGCTGGGGACAGCAGAGCATTGTGTGCCTTGCCCCCCACCCTGGGCTCACTGGCCAGAGCCCAGGATCTCCTGTCACTGCAACCCTCCAGGAGAGCTAAGGGCAGGGAGCAGCTGAGGACCTCCCTGAACAGGCCAGAGGCTGGGTAGAGACCAGGGGATCCAGCTGGGGCTGCCAGTCAGCATGCTGGGCTGAGGAGAACCATGTTAACTCCAGTCTGTAAGTCTGTGCTTTTAGCAGCACCAGGCAATGTGCCCAGGGACATGGGGTGTCCTCTGTGAAAACCCCTACTCCACCTCTGTCACGCTCCAGCCACGCTCATTAGCTGACAAGTGGTCAGACACTGGTTTGCCCTACGCTGTGCTGACAGTCACTATCCCCTCCCAGGACCCCAGAGGGCTTGCTCGCTGAACAGAGCGCTGTGATGGCTCTGGACTCTTCCTTTTTTCCCCCCCCATCAACCACACAGAGGCATCATCCAGAGCCACGTGCAAAAAGGAATGTCATCCCAGAGCCACATGATGCTGCCCCGGGCACCTCTCACACACATGCTTGGGGCGTGACACGTGTTCCCGGACCATACCTGGGTGGCTGTGCTGAGCTGCATGCTGACTCTGCCAGGGACATCTCCAGAGCTCGCTGCAGTGCCTCTTCCTCACTCTGAAAAAAAAATTAAAAAATCTTGTCACTTGCTTGTTTGGGGATGGCAGGAGACAGCCCTGAGGGACACATGACAGGTACAGTTTTGCCTGGCCGAGGGTGAGCGCATCTTCCCTCCTCCAAGGCCAGAAACAGCCAAGGTGAAGGCCTAGGTCTCAGGACAGACCTACAGTTCTCTTCCTCCTGTCCAAGAGGATGCAGCCCTCCCTGCCAGAGCTAAGAGTACCAGTGAGAAGCAGCTTCCAGCCTCCCCCTCTTCCCTTGGTTTGCAGAACAGAAAGATAACACCCAGGGAAAACAGACAGTGCACTTTGTCCCTCTGGGCAAAGCTGAACACCAAGCACACGGAGAGCCACGACTGGCAAGCACCGGATCAAACTGATGCCCTACGGAGCCTCCGAGATCCCTATTCACCAGGGAAAGGCCAGCTGGGGAGCAACCATGGTCACCTACAGAGCATGAGTTGTAGTAGCTCCCCAGGGCACAGGAACCACCCAAACCCACCCCAAATGCCCAGGCCAGGCCACTCACCAGCCCATCACGACAGCCGGAGGGGAGGTGCTGCGAGTCTGCGACACAGTCGCTCTGCCTCCTCTGCGAACACGAGAGGAGCTGGGTTATTGTCAAGGCAGGGAGCCCTGGTACCAGCACACAGCCCTGCTGATGCACAAGCAGCAGGGAGCTGTTACTCCTGTGTCTCATGGAGAGCCCAGCTGAGCATGGTAGTGCCCACCTCATAATTCTGAGTAGGGCCACCACCTTACCTGGCAGGGGCTGGAGAAGAGCGGCTCTCTGCTGGCCGGGCAGCTCCGCTGTTCAGTGCAATGACTGTTTTGGAGGAGGGTGCCTGGGCTCTCGCAATTGCAGCGTGCCTAGGACAGACAGGATGCCCATGAGCAAGTGTTTCACCATCATGAGCCATCCCTGGGCACTGAATATCCAGGAAGAGGAAGCTGAATAAGCAAGATGCCTCCGTGGCTCCCTGCTCCTCTTCCTCCCAAGAGTACCCACGTTGTGGCTCAGCTATGCTCAAGGGTTTCAAGTGTCATTTTTCTCCTTGAAACAATGTACCAGGAGGAGCTTGGCTTCTTCCCTGTCACCCATCTGGCAAGCACAGCCCCATCCCTGCCAGACCGTCTGTCCCCAGGCTCTCACCCTGCTTTGGAGAGGGGAAGCCCTGTCCCGCTGCAGTCGTGGTCCAGGGGGTGCCGGTGCTTGAGGCAGTAGTTGTTGTGGCACTGGTCACAGATCACCTTCATCATCTCCTTCTGCTTGCAGCCAGGCTTGAAACACTTGTTGGTGAAGATCTGAAAGATGGCACGGTGGTGGTGAAAAGGACATGTTCCTTCCCTGCATGCCAGGCCCTGGTCACTGACCAGCTTTCCCAGCTAGTGCCTCTCCTCTGGCAGTTTGTCTCTGAATACTAGTTTTCTTTAGATAGTTTACTAGTAATTCACTAGTCCTGCACTCTCCATAGATAAGGGTCTCCAAGATCACAGAACGCACAGCAGGAGAGAGACTGCCTTGCCCAGGGACTCCTGCCTGTCCTGCCTGCCAGAGCAGTGAGGACAGCTCAGACTGAATTCTGGGCTGATTTCTACAGGGCCAGCTCCCTGCAGCAATTTCCTCTTCTGGAGAGATGGGGCAGCTAACTGCTGATTGCACTTCCCTAATGGCAGCACGCAGCGTCCCATCCTCACATCCCAGGCAGCTGCTCAGCCCCACTCCATCACTACCTCAGCCCCAGACTCACATCAACAAAGTCCTGCAATACTCATGCCCCCAGGTCACTGACCCGAGCAGGGCCGAGTCCCGCTCTGTTTTCATCCCACCCCAGGCTTTGGCAGGGAGCAAGACGGAGAGCGCTGGGTACCTACCTTGCGTTTGCGCCGTGCGGGGTCGGATTTGCAGTCACGGTCAATGTGCTCACCCACCACGACATCGGGCATCTCCCCCCGCCTCACGGGGACCGGGGTGTTGCAGAGGGGACACACAGGGACCTGCACATCCTGCAGAGGCAAGAAAAGGGGGCTGGAAGCACGTAGCTGGAAACCCTCGAGCACTGCGTGGCCAATTTCTTTCCCTTTCAGGATCTGCCTGCTGCAGCACCCATAGGGTCACCCGTGGCTTGAGATCCCGCTCAAACCGAGGCGCGAACGCACCCTGGGAAGGAAAGCTAGCAGGGCTGGGAGATGCCCAAACCATTTCACCCAGTGGCAGAGAGCGAGCTGGAAGTCTGCAGCACTGAGATACAGATCCTGGCTTTCAGGGACCAG